CACAAGGAATTTCACTACTGTATTAAATTAGCACAAATCAGCCTTTTGAAAGACACCACAGAATCATTCACTGCTCAGGAGGCATAACTGAGTTGGGGGTAAAGATTGCTCGCTTTTGTTCAACTTTATGGGTTAAATGCACTGTCCTGAGTGTAGAATTTGGTGGCAGTGCTGTGTGATAATTCTAGATGTGCTTCCATTTCACTTAGTAACCTTGGATGCTCTGCTTCAGTGTGCGCTGTCTCAGCTTTCCTGTGGGTGAAAGGAGAGAGGGGTGCAATTAATCCCTTCCTGACTCATTCAGGGGTTTAATTGAAAATTCTTTCTAAAAACCACTTTAGATTGGTAGAGAGGTTTTTCATACTCACCTTATTTCTTTGAAATATCTCCTGTAAAGAGTGTTATCCTACAAACCTTTAGAATGTTACTCAAACCTAGCTTGAGCACAAGTCATCTCAGAGTGCCTTAATGACAGCAAACTGTCTCCACCCCATGGGAAATGACTTCTGAATGAAAGCCCAAGGAATTGAACTCTGTAAAGCAATCACACATGATCTTCTGAAAGATCTGTGTGTCTGGCAGAGTGCATCTGCTCAGTAGACTTTTCAACCTTAGAAGTGTTTCTAGTGGGTACTGCAATCTAATTTTCATTATACTTGCATAGCATGTTTGCAAACATACACTAGTCTCATTGCTACCTTGATTTTTTTTTTTAATTTCTCACTCGTTTGTATAAAATCTGGGTTGGCTTTCCCTGCCAAAGTGTCTTGCTGTGTCTGCCTCAGTTTCTTTTCCTGATGGGAGGGCCAAGTGGGGGCAAAGTCTCGGGGTGCAGCAAGACCAGTCCCTGGTGGAAGAACAGGGTTGACCTTGCGAAGTTACTCTGCAGAAATAGCTGAAGGTGTTTCACCTCAGAGGGTCACACAGCATCACTGATGCCCGTCTTGTCTCCTGGAGAGAATAGCCAAGCACCTTTGGTGCAGAGAGGTGATGTGTGATTTGAATGGCTTAAGTAGCTCACATGTCTTCAGGGTGGTATAGATGTGTTCGCAGTGTTGGAAAGTAACGCTGATGTTTTCTGAAATGAGTGACTTCGAGCCACTAGGCTCACCCTGAGGATAGCTGTGATGCCATGGGGCACAGATTGGAATTTATGGTCAACAGATGGAAGTGCCCAGAGCATGCAAGGGTTAGGGCACTTACCTGGTGTGATACAGAGCGAGCAGCCTGGTGGCTTCTCCTTCAGCCTGACATAGAGGTGATGTTCTGCCCTGACTAAGTTTGAGAGAATGAGAGAAACACACTTGAGTCACTTGCTCTCCATAACGTAGCAACGTGCCCCGAGGCGTGCTCTGTGTGTAATCACTGATCTGCATCTGCTCTGAAACTCATGTGGAAGGAAACCCAGTGCTGAAACTCAAATGAGAACTCAGTTTTGTGCAAAAAAGGTCTTCTGACCAAACTAAGTATCTCCTTGGGTTGGTAGTGCCCTCAGAGGAACTGCATATGAAGTAACAGATCTCTTTTTTGTTGTTGCCTTTTTTTTTTTTTGTGACACTGTCTACATTTAAGGTTGTGTTATTCAGAATCATATGGAGCAATCAGATTTCATGGACTCAAATGTTACTTGTATATTAATTTGTATTTTTTTCAGAAAATAGCAAGCTGTGCATGGTACTAGATACACGGAGAAGAGTAAGAATGATTGTATGTCATTTTAAAACAGTTTTTCTATATTCTGCAGGGAAATAAAGCATATTGTATTTACAGAGTAGAGTGTGAATTGCCAAGTTCTAAATGTATCTGTCTGCAGAAGAGGGGAATTCCTGCTTGCAAAATCTTAATGATTAATAATGTGGGACTTGCATATTGAGAATTATAGTGTTGATTTGTTCAGTATACGGATAATTTCTGCAGGACAGTCTTGGAACATTTCAAAGATGATTTTTCCTAAAGTTGTTGAAAAATCTTACAATGAGTAAGGTACGTTTAAAGACTGGTTTAGGGCATTTGTGTAGCCTAAAGCCAGAATCGGAAAACAAGTTATTTCCGAAGCTGCCTGCTTGAGGCTGCGCTGGCTTGCAAGGTTCTGAGAATGCAAATAACCTCGTGGTGATTTAGGTCAGCCTGCCTTTGTGCATCTGGGGGGCTGCGGCAGCTGAACTGATGAGTCAGTTAAACTCCAGTTCCCTGACCTTGGGTCCTGCACATGCCTTTAACTTTCTGCCAGTGCAGCCCTTCCAAGGGCATGGTGTTGGTGGAGAAACACAGTTACAGTCGGAAGTTATTATCTGCCTGTTTAGTGGTAGGAGCAATTGAACAGCCAAGTAAAGCAGGTTGTAGAATGGAAGTGTTTCTCCCTCAGTTTACAGGCTCTGGGTCAGGAAGCATGTGGATGTGTAGAGGCGAGAGAAATCTGTATGTGGCCTGTTTCTCCTTCTCTTCCCCCAGGGTGGAATAGGACAGGCTTTTCCTGACCCTAACTCCATAATGATTTTTTATTTCTTTATTGAAGCTCCTGGCCTTCCGTCTCCCTTTGTCTAACTGTGATATGTGTAATTTTCTTCACCACCCAACAACCCTCTTGTGAATTTTGTTGAAACAAAATCTGGAGCTGGCTCAAAGTCCCACCAGTTCCCCTTGTGTGGCTTTCTGTCTCCTAGCCTTAGGAAGTGTCTGGCCAGGCTGTTGGTCGCAGCAGGATTCCCTGCAGTAACAACCTGCATGTGTCTCCTCCCCTCCGTGGCCCCCAAGCATATGGTTAGCTGCATCTTCTCCCTTCTACATACTTTTTTTTCCCCCCATCCCTCTTAAGCGCATGCAGTTTGCACTTCAAAGTGTGAACAGGCTTTGATGCAGAACAGAGGCAGAATTGATTTGCTAAAACATCTATCGGAGAGAAGTTATGTGCACGGAGTGTCATTCAGGTTTGAGAAGTCCGAGTGGCAGCTCTTTTACAGACTGAGAATTTAGGGCAAGTTCTTTCTTTGAGACTAACCCTCCTTTGCTTCTGCCCAGAGTGTTTGCGTTTTCT